CGACAGAAAGCAATGCCACAACATTCTTGTTGCATGCGAATCATCATGCCGTGTGGGGCCCGGAAAATTTGCTGCAGGCAAAGAAAAGTACCTTGGGTCATCGAAGCCAGGCACTCTAACTGCCCAAGTGAACATTTACACGCTAAATCTTTGCACGGGGCAGCTTACGCCTTGAACGCGCCAACAACTATGCCTGACGGCAGGCATGGGGCGAGGTTGCCAACCCTGTAAGCACTTTGCGCACTTTGCACAGACTGGCGCAGGTGTCACCTTGACAGAGACTAAGGTCACCATCGGGTGGACAACCAGCTGCAGCATTGCCCCGGTGGAATGTGTCAGTTCAGATGGCTCTGTGTCGGCGCAGAAGTGGTTGAGACAGATAGGACGATTCGATCGGTTTGGCCACTCCACCGTCTGGAGTGCATTTTCGGAGCACTCTTTTCACGCTCTCCAGAGCTCCTCCACGTTGAGGGCAGGGATGCCATGAAACACTGTCAGGACTGGTCTCCTGTTACTCCTGTTCAAGAACAATTTGGCGCTCAATCGTTTTTTTAAAATTATCGACAAATGGCGGTTGCAAGGTGTGGACATCCTCCTACCGTGGCTTTCTGTTCTCTTCTTGACGTTCTTTCTTCCAAAAGCTTTTTATGTGGTCATTTCTCTGCCACGTCTCTCAAATTCAAAGTGGTTGGGGTCTATCGGATCCTTGTGATCCACTTTGGAGTGGACAGGAACGGTCCAGGTGACTGGCTCATAAGTGCAAGTGGTTACTGTTTCGGGTCCATCGGATGCTGCTGGTTCTCATGGACACGCTGTCGTCACCTGAAGAGTCGATCAGCGGTTCAATACCCATCGGGGTCGAAATCCGGCATGGGAGGTCTGAGCATTTCATCCTCTTCACGACTGTCTGCCTTTAGGTCGCGTTTAGCCTTTGACTTATCTAAGTCTGGCGTAGGTTCGCAAGATGAAACACTCTGACACCAATCTAAGTATCTTTGCTTGCGTTTGACTGAGTGCACACGGCCACGCAAGACTCTATTGTCACAGGCATCACACCCAGCTGTTCGACCGTGCGATCTCAACCACGCTGGCGGCGGACCGGACTTTGGCGTCGGTTGTGGCTGGATTTTCAACGGGCTCTCATCGACTGCAACTGGCGCTTGCCCAGTTTTGTGCACTCGTTCGATCAAGCTAGGTGCAGACGACGGTCGGACAATCTTGTTCAAAAGTCGAGCGCTCTTAGCTTGAAAAACCTTTTCATACCTGCAGTGGCTACTGCAGCCTGACAGGCTGCTGAGGTTGCAACTGCCGAGCAATCTGCAATACCTTATGGGCAAGGGTCCAGCTTTTAACAATCTCGCACAGTGGAAGGTATTTGTTTGCTATCCAGCTTCTGCTGGCTCCACTATCGAGCAAAAACCAAAGACCCAAATCAAGAGAATCTAAATAGACACACTGCTGCTCATCAACGGCATCAACGATTTAGATACAGGATTCTTATCTTGCAAGCTCTGCTCACTATATACTTTTGAGACTTCGTTGAAACATTGTCGAAAGCTATATTCGAACAAGCATGACTTAGGTCTCATAGGGTTGACTGGCAACTCTGACAAGTCCAGCTTTGCGGCTCCCGATCTCCAACGCTCGCGTTCCACGTTGGCAGTGGATCGGCGTTCCGAGAACGACGATGCGACGAACGACGAGAGCTCTTCAACTGAACCTTTATTCACCTGTCGACCTCTAGACTTTACCTGTAGAGCTTCAGGCTTGCGGGTGAACTCGTTGGCGCATGACTGCATTTCTTTTCAACTGAAGGTCGGAAAAAGGTCTGCTTATCTACCTTCGTAGTCTGAGCAGGCTCTGGATTACACACTCTTGAGATGCATTCAAAAGAATACAGTTCAGACCCCAACTGAAGCACAGCTTCTTTCAAGTTCGAAAATTCCCTCTGATTCGAAATGCTAAAAGCTGATTCTGAAAGTGCATCCCTTCTGCACGGGTGGTCACTGGAAACACTCTATGCAAAGCTCTCAACAATGCATACCCCTGTGGTTTCCCAATGCATACACGCATTTCAAAAACACGAATGAACGAAGCCCATCTCTGTGTTCCACCTGATGCTTGCTTCAAAATGTAAAACAACCTCGTGGATCTTTCCGCTTGCGTGGGGGTCATGAAGTTCGCAAGATCATCATTGAAATCCCCTGCTCCTGGTTCTCGCCTATTCAAAATCTCATGGATCTCTGGTCCGTAACTTGGCTGATGGTTACTCAACCAGGCTGCTAGGCTTTCAACCCAGTGGAACTCTCTGTGGCCCAGCAGGTGCTCCTACACTGTTTTGTGCCTGCAACTGATTCTGCATTTGTACCATGGGTTCTGCTGTTGACTCGCTACATTCTGCATAAAAAGGGCCATAGTGTGAGACATCTGTTCAAAACTATGTTGCTGCATAGTCATCGTCACTAGGTTCTCCGAAACCCTTGCTAAAGACTCTAAAGGAGCACCATTTCCCTCAGCAGGATTCTGAGGGCCGGATGAAGCCTGAGCATCTCCTGCTTGTCTTGGCATGGCTTGGCTCATCATGGCGTCGCGGAGTGGATGTCTCAAACGCTTGAGTGGAATATGCTCACTCACTGCTTGTGTCGGCCACTCAGGTAGGACAAGCGGACCAGACATCATCAGACCTGTTTGACACTGTGAGACAGTGACAGGCGACAACCTCTCCTGCCTGACCTACTGTGGCGACGCAGATGGTACGGAACAAAGCGGGACGACTCTGTGGCATAAGACTTGTGGCGGGCATAGTTTCAGACGATCTACCTTCAGAAGTACCTTCTGAAACTTCACCTGACTGACCTAAAGGACGGACACTGCCAAAAACTTGTTCAAATGGCATGCGCTGTGTTGGCGCTGGCAAGTCACCAAAAGCATCTCTTAAGGATGCCTCCTACTACCTGATCACTCGATGGACCAAGTGTGACTGACGGACCTGACGGTAACATCCTGTGAAAAGCGGCGTCGAAAACCAGCTACTACCGGACGACATTGGGCTCTACGAAAAGAGCTGTCACGGAGATGGGCTCCGCTATCATACGACAGCGCAAGGATGCGTCAATAAAGGCGCGGGTACTTACAGTTTCTGCTACGACAAGTCTAGCGCAACGTGCTCCCTGCCGCGACAGGGTAGAGAAACTGAAATGCCTATCAAACAAAACTTCAAATTCGTCAACAGATCGAACTCGGACTTTCACTGATGACCCACAGATTGTCTGTTTTCGGATCTGTCTGTATAAGACTCGGGAATAGACTGACAAAGACTTGCAGCATCTTGAACCGTATCTTGAACCACACCAGATAAAAGGAAACTAGACAGGGAAAGCCACCTTTGAGCAAGTCTGGCTTAGAACGAGTTTCGATCCAGTATCTAAGGATACCAGGCTCCTGGGACCAAACCACAAAACTGAGAGCTTCCTTTGAGCAAGTCTTGCTTATGACAAGTCTCGATCCAGTATCTAATAAGGACGCCAGAGAAACTTGAAAGCGTAACGAATACGTGTGGCTGCACAAGGAGTCTCAATCCAGTAGCTAAGGATACCGTAAAGAGACGAGCCGTAGGTGCGTTTGAAATCTCAATGCGCTATCTAAGGACACCGTAAAAGAGGGAGATCACAGTCAATGACTCAGTACAGTATCTAAGGATACCGTAAAGAGCCACCAGGAGGAATGGAGCCGCCGACCTAACCGAAGTGGACTCCTAGAGAGACCACCGCGCTAACTAAGAACCTACAAGGGCTGATATCTCGTTTGAGATACTTGAGCTGAAAACTTGAGCCAATGGCTACGGAAGGATAAGGTTTGTGAAGGTATCACGGACGAGCTGACGGGACATCCGATCGACCAGCAGGCGGTTGAAGGTGTCCGAAAAGAGAGGGCCCAGCTTGAAGGTGGAAGAAGACACCTATGCGAAGAAAGCCGGGAGGAACATTGCAGTAGAGTAATGGTGGTGGCGCACCCTTGCGGGACACTCTTGTCGAACAGACTTGTGAGGCAATTGTTTAGATCTCTGTTGGACACTCTAGTGGGACACTCTTGTGGGGGGCTGCTAAAAGCTCCGACAAAGCGAGTGTTGAATCAGGTGGGGCTATCCCAGACATCACAGCCAACACTTCAGCTTCACATGAGGAAAGTGAGGCGCTCTTTTGTGTTCTTGAATACGACAAGCAAAGCGAACCATCAATCCGACGGTGTCGACCTTCGTTTAGGTCCCACAGAAGACCTCCACGCAATGCTCTTCAGATTCATTGTGCTCCTGTACGTTGTTCAACTTCAATACCACGTGGGCCCAACTTGACTGTAGGGCATCAAAAAGGCAAAATCCTTTGCGCCTGCCACATTCATTCGGACAGCGGGTCAGGAAGACAGTGGCTTCAGAGATCTGGATTGCAAAGAAAATCGTGAGTGTTTTGCCTATTGGAACAAAGCTGAACAGCTGACCTGAACACCAAGAAGTTGAATGAGGCTGAGCCAATTCCAGGGACAGAACCTCAAGTCGCAGTTTCCTTTTACATTATTTGAGCACAGTGCTGTTGTAAGAGCAATATCGTGTTGGAAGTGATTGGATGAATTGAGCATTGGGAGCATTTGGCTGAAATACCAAGTTCAACAAATCACAGCAGAATCCCTGGACACAGACGGTGATGACATTGTTGATCTTTTGGATCTTGGGTGTTTGCAGTTTCTTGTATGAGCATTGGCATGAGACCGAAGTATATTTTGGGCGGGGCAGTGAAAGACCTGGCGAAGAGATCGTGACACAAGAGCCAGAACCAGAGTCGATGCCGGAGACGGTTACAGATCCGTGCCGGAGAAAGCAATGCAAGAGGACCGAGAGATGAGCGTGAAGTGGTTCCTCGACCGCCTGCGTTTCCTCCGACGGGTGTTGACCCACCACCAAGGTGGGCACCATGGTCGCCAGAGTGGTTTACATATATTTATGTTGGGTCGAGTTGACAGATTGCAAGTTTGGAAGCAAATTCGAGCCCCACTGTGCGGGCTCGAGCTCATGCATTTTGCAAATAGATGGTTTTAATCCGGGAATGTTCCAGAAAAGTCACAATGGGAAGCAGGGGAGAAAGAGATGAACAAAGTATTGGAGAGACATCAAGTGCCCGTGAGAGGAGGTACAGATCGTTGAGGCTGGAAGAAGTGAGTGGCCCAGAGTATTGGATGTTGTGGTGTCATTGTGAAACAACATCCTCAGAAGAGGAAGATACAGAAACACATGAAACAATTGAGAAAAGCAGAACAAAGAATGAGGCGCAGCGTCGCAACAACAACAATCCTACGGGTGGTGCACTCGCTTGAGTTTTCGACATTGTTTGGAATGGAATGTTGAACTCATTTGCATGTGGGTGAGCCGTGCAACAGCTGAACCGCGGCACCATTCTGTGCAACATCTGAACCACAGTTCGCAGCTAGGAATTCAGTTGAATTGACAACGTTCTTTTGTGGAAATCACTTTTGTGAGCCGGAGCAGGGGCTATCGAAGATAGTTGTAGACGTCACGATTAAATTGGACCGCTTTCAGTGTGTCTTGCCAGATAGACACTTTTGGTGACGGTACCCGCCGGAGGTACATATACTACAGCGTACTGCGTCGAGGCGGGGTGTAAAACATGGATACATGCGCGCCATCCTTATAGATGTTTAGTCACTTGGATGCGCGGCTGTTTGCTAGTTGAAAACTACTGGATCTCGGCTCGAAGAGTGTGCTGCCTAACAAATTTTCAGGTGAAGGTTCTTACGTTCACTCCTGCTGGTACCTGTGTCAGACCTCTTGGTCTGGGTGCACTTTCTTGTTGAAATTGGTGTTGCTCAAGACTTCCCGACTTCGTCTCTCCTTTCTCTAGTGGGCCCTCCACAGGGAGCGCCGTGTGTGTGTAACCCTTAACTCGCGAGCAGGGGAATCACCCACGGACTTGACTGGTGATCCAACGACGAGGGTCAAGTTCCGTGCTCATATCTGGCCTGATTAGCCAGACGAACGTGTAGTTTTACTTGAGAAATTTGATCGCGGGCCCTGCTAGAACAAGACGTCCAGCCTTTGCATCGGTTCGTCATCGGCAGATGTGCACTGTCGCTTTGGACGTGTCGATTTGAAGTTGGAGGCTGTGCAGGTTTTGAGGAAGTTTGGACCACCGTACTTACCCCAGTCCTGGTTTCTCACGTTTTTCACTTAGGCTGGCGTGTGGCAAACCGCAAGCAAATCAGTACGCAATGCTAAAAGTGTGTGTGTGTGTGTAAACCGCCACCACAAGCAGATGTTCAGTCGACCATTGCATGACCATCGAGCATAGAGCACTCGGATAGCAGGGGGACGGGTCACCGCTGATACTACCCGTCCAACGAGGAGGGTGTCAGTTGGTGCTGATGCAGTGGGGGACGCTCCACTGTGTACCTGCACTTGACACATTGAACTTCTCAAGCCGTTGCAGGTACGTCAGGTTGATTTCCTGTGTTTCGTGACGGTGTCGCCTGTACGCACATTCATTGAAGGTTGTGGACTTAGGAGGGTCTGGGCTTTGACACCTTTCCACCATTCCACCACCCAAAATCTTTTCTCAGTGTGTGTGTGTGTGCCGGCTCCGTTGTTTTTCGCGCGGTTCAGTTTTGGTTGTGGCGGTGATTTTTGGAGAGTTTCGGGCAAAGTGAAGCAATTGCGTGTCCAAATGCTTTTCTGAACACCGATAAGTCGATTAGAACATTTCATGCAATTTTTGTGTTTGTGGGCTGTTTCTGGTCAAATCGTCTCAGTTTAGATTGGGCCGAGGCTTCGTGTTGCAGGACTGGTACGGAACCTCTCAAATCCCATTACAGTACATGCTGTTCAATTCAGGCCATGGGTGATGATGACTCACAAGAACCGCGATGGGCTAAGAGTTAAGAAAATGCAGCCAAGATTCAATGCCAAATGTTCATTCACTTGTATTGGAGTTAGGTGAATCTGTCCGCATCAGTGCCATGTAGATTTTGTGTTCTTGTTTTTTCTCAGTCTTTTGACGTTTGCGTATTTCGCGCGGGGTGTCGTCCATTTTCTTTAAACATAGTTGAAGGTTACCAGTTCTTCGAACTCACAAATCACCACATAACCAACTCAACATTGAGCTAGAAAACGTTGTACCACTTCACAATTTAGCGCATGACTAATTAATTAAACACGTAGATATTGTTGTTTCACTCAACTTTGCAAGAGCAATTCACCCTTTTTGGTTGTGGCCTGTATTGTTTCATGTTTGTTTTTAGGCTGCGACCTTTCATCGAAGCTGAGAGGGAATTTGTACACCTGCAGGCTTTTGCCGGACTTTGTGGTCTTTTTCCATTCTTCCGCTTTATGGACCTGGTATGACGGTAACCTTATGACAGGCCACCGGGGACCATGACGGAGCTGTGCGGTGCTTGGAGGCAGTGCTGCGAGCAGAGCAGGCGCACGGAACTGATTGTATAATTAATTGTGCCTTTGACAAGTGTGTTGGCAGCAAATGGCAGGGGCCACTTGTGTACTCCAGGGCACATTCGCTACATTCGCTTGTTTTGGAGGCCACTGTGCAGCAAATGCCAGATACAATGTTGTCAACGCTGTTCGAGCGGTTGGCTATAGGCTGGACATCAATAGGAATGATCATGCAACATGCATGAACACATTTTCTGTAGTTCGTTGTCTTAGGCTACAATACCCTGGGCATGAAGCACTTGAAGGACTAGATTGTGCATGAAATGTATATAATTTCTTCAAAACTGCACCCGAGCTTTGGGCTGAAGGACAATAACACTGAAGTCTCATGCAAATTCTTCGAGAAAGCAGAAGCCCTGACAGACCCTGCGAATTTGTGCAGCCCCCGGACTGGTTGCTCGAGAAAGATGATTGCGATTCCGCCGCATTGTTGAGGCATATGAATCCTGAGTCTCGTCTCGTCTTGAGAGCGGTACGCACAACCCTGGTCCCTTTTTTTCCATTGAGCGTAACAACCACATGGGTTTTGACAGGTGACATACAACAATATGGGATGCTTTTACAAAAGCTTTGGAAAGTCACTTGGCAGATTAAGTTTGTCCTGCGCTGGGCGAAAGCAATATCACAGACCCATTTTGACAAGGCTTCACACAGCCCTACAGTACCTGAAGAAGGCACAGAAGATTGAAGAGAGGCATGATTCTCAGCTTTGTTCTTCCTGTGGCTTTGTTCAAGGCTGAAGTGAGTTCAAGCATCAACTTTGTTAGGTGTTAGGTCCTGTTAGGTACAGTCACAGAACACTGCATCCCTCTGAAGGTCGCATGGCAGATGCCAAAACCCAGCAGGTAGTTGGCACGAAGTGGCTTTGTCTCTTCTGAATGTTTTCCTTCAAGCGTTTGCAAACTGCAGGCACCCATTTGAACCTGTGCGCTCTGTTGTCTCAAATGGGAAAGCATCAAGAGGCCACAACGTATATATACACATGCCCAGCTACAGGTGATTTGATACTCGGACGGAGCGTCGGTGTGTTTAAAGCTATTTCACAAGCTTTGTCCACTGATCAACTATGCAGGCACTCCAACATGCTGAGAAAGCTTTGAAGAAGCTTGAGGAGCAAAGCCAATTGGAAGAACTTGCCACAATGCGGTCAATGCACCTGAGTCAATGCAGCCGCCTCCTGGGTTTGTATTGCAGCGGCAGGCCCAAGCGCATTCACAGCAGACACTCCCTCAGAACTCACAGAAGCTGGAGTTCTCACTGCAGAAACGTTTATGACCTTGCATCGCTAAATCAAGACATGGTGCAAGAACATGTAAACAGCAGTGCCCAGGGTTTGGTGCAACAGATCTGTCAGCAAGAGCTTAGAAAGAGCTACGTCTTAGACTTGTATTTACAACATGTTCCCAACATGTTGCAACTCTCCAATAGGTTGTTTTCTGCTCCATTCTCTTCAAGCATTTCAAGTAGTGGGTGCTCTTGACGTTCCGTTGAGGCCATCCCAGCCTGCTGAGAGTCCTGTTCTTGGATGCTTGTGATGAAGCACAGCAAAGATTGGCAAAGACGTACAGATCAGACCGAGGTGTAACTGGCAGCACCAATAGTGAGAGCCTAATTTGTACGATGCCAAGATACGGATTTGCGGTGGACTGAAGATTCTTTCGTGGGTTTGCTTAGCAATCCTCCTTCTAAGAAAAGCATGTGTCAGAGCAAGATTTGCATCGAACCAGTATCTCTTTGGCACCGATTTAGCCGACTTGTCCTATGGTTAAATGTTTTCTTCCCTTCTCGGCTGCTTTAAGCGTTTTCATCGACACATCAAGAGGACATAATCCTTTGGCCTTTGGTTTTGTGTTGTTGGTGGTTTGGGTGAATGCGAACTGAATGAATCTCTGAGGTTGGGATGGTTGCCCGAAGATTGGTGATCTCATATGATCATAAATGACTGCGAATTTGTTTAGACTTATTCTTGGGCTTAACAAGTTTCCGGTCTCCAACTGGATTTCAAGCGTCCTAGAGAGTGGTCGTGTCGCAGAACTTTCCTGCATCACGTATCGTCGGTCTCCATTTTAGTACTCACGTTTTTGCCTCCATGTGTCCTTCGTTTAGGTGTTGCGTACTTCAACATGGGCGCAGAATATGAGCACTTAAAGAAGAACAATGATGCGCTGTGGCACTACCAGAGAGCCCTTGGCCCAGCGAAGTGTGGGCACCGACAGGCCAATGCAATATTGGATCGAGGCGCATGAAAGTTGCTTGCAAGAATTGGGGGAAGAGCCGGGCTCTGAAAAACTTTAAAAAACAACACAGTCCGGAGTTTGTTTGAACTATCTTTGCTTTTCGCTAAGGCACCCTCTCAGCAAGCAAATACAAGCCTGCGTGGACCAATTGCAGCAAAGGTGCTGTGGATTTGCTTGAGGATGATGATTGCAAGACACCTTTGTTGCAGGGCCAAGCAGAAGGCGAAACCAGTGTGAGCAATGTTTCATCATGATTTTGCACGTTGATGCAATGCTTGGGCTGTTTATGTGTATGTTTCTTCAAATCAATGTTGCACGTGTGTTGCATCGTGCTGCAATCTCAGTTGTTTCACCATTTGGGTCCGTTTCCTATCATTTCAACTTTTCCAGGAAAGCTGTCAAGTCGGGCAACTTTTAACAAACGCGTTTTGCGATGAATTTCATGTTTCACATATCGCCGCGAAACTATCCGGTGTACAGTACTTGCATGCCTTTACACATTGAAAGAGCGCGGAGTCCTTTTGGACCATAAAAGCGGTCCGCGGTTCACGATGTACACTTCTCTATTCTGCGTGTCATGTCTTTGACATGTGAGCACCTCATGAGTACATCCATTTATATAGGTTTCGTACTCCTGCTTCAAGCTTTGAGTTTTCCTTCACTCAATGCTTGATTCTGGTGTTGGGTCTGTGAAGAGGAAGCATTCAAATTCGTTCATGTACTCACACATCTCACCGGCTACCTCATTGTTTCCCCCCTGACCGCATGGAACGACGTGGCCTCAATCTGGCAAAGTCAGTGCTGGTTCCATATCTTCGACTTGGCTTCCCGGGCTTGGCTGCCATCTCTCGATCCTGCACTTCAGGCGGGCTTTTCCTCATTTGTTGCTGCCTGCACATGCTCAATGGACACCTCCACAATCTCTACTGAGTCAAGCTGAAAGGTAGCTGTGTCTCACTCAGCATATCTCATCCTCCTGACTGTGACTTGGATGTGGAGGAGGGTCGTCCAAGGAAAATCTGGGAATCCTCGACGTCCGTTGTTTTCTCCTTATCTGATTCACCTCCCTCCAAGGTTATTAAGTTTCCCGCAAAATTTTAGGAACCAAATCATCCATAGCGCGAGCGCTTCTTCAAGGAAGCTCCCCCCCCCCTTCGAGCTTCCTTGACTTGACGAAGCGTGATCCAGTAGGTAGTAGCTTAAGTAGCTCAGTAGCAAGCTAGTAGCTTACTTCTCCCTTACTTAATTATATAAGTAGGCGCCTACTTCATTAAGGAGGCAGGGCCACAGGCTAAAAAACAAAATGGAACAAACAATGCACACACGCACTCGAAAACAAATGGCCAGACATTGTTTGACACTTTTGTGGGACACTCTTGTGGGTCATTCTTGTAGACACTCTTGTTGGAAACTGTTGTTGGACACTCATTCTTGTGGAAAACTCTTCTTGGACACTCTCGTGCGACACTCTTGTGGTGTGCCACAGACTAGACGCAACAAATGTAACACCAAGCCTCGTGGACACCACCAACGTCCGCTCCCCAGCGACGCGGCGCGTTTACACCAGCAGTATGCTTTCCTTCACCCAATGGCACGGACTCAGGACTCACGCAAACGCACTTTCCACCAAGACAGCTCAAAGCCACATGGCAGAGCGTCATTACATACGTCGTGTCGCCACGCGGTGCAAAACAGACTAGATACAACCATGTAACACCAAGCCTCGTGGACATCGCTAATCATCCCACTTCCCCCAATGGAACGGACTCAAGGCAGCGCGAAACCGCATGGCACAGCGACATTACACACGTCATATCGCCACGCGGTGTGCTATAGACTAGGTACAAGTATGTAACCCCATCAAGCATCGTGGGCGCCGCCAAATCATTCCGCTCCCTAGCGACACGCCGCGTTTATACTAGCATGCTTTCCTTCCCCTAATGGCGCGGACTCAGGACTCACGCAAACGCATGTAATTTGGCCACATTCCGCATGTAAAAGTGGGCGGCAGTTCTGAGGCCATAACTTGCGGAAGCTGCTTCCTGCATTTCATTTGTGCTACAAAGTTGCGAATTCTGAGGCCACAGCTCCCAGAAACTGCTCCCCTTACTACCAGCCCCCCAGATCCCCCAGACTTTGAACGGGAATACGCAAAAGGTCCGTCCAAACCCTGTCTCTGAACTTACACCATTTAAGAAGAGAGCTGGAAATAGTTTGCGCATCTTATCCACTGGCAGGATTGTAAGCATCATCTCTCCATCTCTTTTGTCCAGCGCACAATCGGGCGCGCGACCAATCTCGACCTCATCAACCATTTCTTCTTGGGTCCATCCTTTGGCGCATAGTGGCGCATAGGTCTTGGCAGTCGTGTACAAATCTTGTAGTCAAGACATTCAATTTAGCCTTCTCAGGCCTCAGGCGCTCAAGCACTTCCACGCTTGTTGGCCAAGGCATCCACTTCTGCCAATGGTGCTGGCGGTATATTTGTCAGAGCATCTGACCAAAGCTCTTCTGGAATCGATCCTTGTTCGAGATCTTCAAGGTCATTTTGCTCCTCTTTAAGCATCATACTTTCCATATGTCCATTATCTCATCCAGATGGTGTATTGTCCTTCCTGATGAAGGCGGTGGAAGCTTTCGCAAAACCCTCCCCTCAAGGGGGTACTTTAACTTTCCCATGGGAGTGGTGGAATCCTGCTCAACCTCTCCTCCTGGATCAAACTGTTCCTCTTTTTCCCGAAAGCATTGCAAAGGGTTCTTCCGGAAAATCCTTTGAACACTGACACTTCGACACTTACACTTACACACTGACACTTTCACCACACTTGCACGACAACATGAACGCTATACGTACCCCAGTGTAAGTGGAAGAGCGAAAGCAGCCAAGTGCAAGTGTCAAAGTATGCAAGTGGAAGTATGCAAGTGTAAGTATGCAAGTGATGAGTATGCAAGCATGCAATGAGTAGGCAAGTGTGAGTATGGAAAACTACCACGGGAGATGTCCTAATGAAAAAACATTTCCCCGCTTTATAAATTCTCTCTTAAAGGCGGAGGGTGGGACGAACAGCGTCAACCCTCTGCGGAGATCGTGCGTGTCGAGCGCACGAAATGCAGGCGAGAGTGCGATTGGTGCGGTGCGCGCGCAACCCTCTGCGGAGATCGTGCGTGTCGAGTGCGCGAAATGCAGGCGAGAGCGCGATTTGTCCGGTGCCCGCGCAACCCTCTGCGGAGATCGTGCGTGTCGAGTGCGCGAAATGCAGGCGAGAGTGCGATTGGTGCGGTGCGCGCGCAACCCTCTGCAGAGATCGTGTGTGTCGAGTGCGCGAAATGCAGGCGAGAGTGCGATTGGGTCTGAGTGCGCGCGGGTCGAGTGCGCGAAATGCAGGCGAGAGTGCGATTTGCCGGCTGCCCGCGTAACCCTCTGCGGAGATCGTGCGTGTCGAGTGCGCGAAATGCAGGCGAGAGTGCGATTCAGTCTGTCCGCGCGCAACCCTCTGCGGAGATCGGGCGTGTCGAGTGCGCGAAATGAAGGCAAGAGGTGTGCTTTGTAGTATCACTGTAGTACGCGGAGTATCTGGGGAGCTGGAAGCTGAGAACTGGCGACTTTGTAGTACAACTTTAGTACGCGGAGTATCTGGCGAGCTGGAAGATGAGAACTGGTGACTTTGTAGTACAACTGTAGTACGCGGAGTAGCTGGGGAGCTGGAAGCTGAGAACTGGCGAGTCTCTAGTACAATTTTAGTACGCGGACCAATCTGTGGAGCTGGAAGCTGAGAACTGGCGACTTTGTAGTGCAACTTTAGTACGCGGAGTAGCTGGGGAGCTGGAAGATGAGAACTGGCGACTTGGTAGTACAACTTTAGTACGCGGAGTAGCTGGGGGGTGGGAAGAGGAGAACTGGTGACTTTGTAGTACAACTTTAGTGCGCGGAGCAATCTGTGGAGCTGGAAGCTGAGAACTGGCGAGAATCTGTGGAGCTGGAAGCTGAGAACTGGCGACTTTGTAGTACACTTTAGTACGCAGAGTATCTGTCTGGGGAGCTGGAAGATGAGAACTGGCGATTTGGTAGTACAACTTTAGTGCGCGAAGTATCTGGAGAGCTGGAAGATGAGAATTGGCGACTTGGTAGTACAACTTTATCACGCGGAGTATCTGGGGAGCTGGAAGATGATAACTGGCGACTTTGTAGTACAACTTTAGTACGCGGAGTATCTGGGGAGCTGGAAGACGAGAACTGGTGACTTGGTAGTACAACTTTAGTACGCGGAGTATCTGGGGAGCTGGAAGATGAGAACTGGCGACTTGGTAGTAGAACTCCAGTAGGCGGAGGTGACTTGCGAGAGGTCAAGAACTGGTGAGATTTCCTGGAGGCGTGCGCGCTGCTTCTCGCGTTACCAGCAGGTCAAATGCTCGCGGCGGTGAGCTGGGGTGTCACCGCTTGGCCGCCGGTGGGGGGTTTGGGTGGCCTGCGCGCAAATTCG